GTGGCGTGAAATCCCCAAAACACAACATCTGCTGGATTTATATTCACTCCCGTTCAGGTAGGAACACCCTGGTACCTCCCCTGGGGCAGGGAGTTTTAACTGGATGAGGTAATGTTGTGGATCAGTTCAGGAGTCATTGACACCTTCTAAGACAATACACCCACCCATAACATCAGGAAGTTGAGTCCATTATGGCCCATTAGGGGCTATGTATGGCCCAAAACCTTCAGGCTATGTATGAATGTCCCGGTGCTTCCCCAGCTGGGGAGTTAGCTGAGTTCACTTGAGTAAGGACAAAGAGACAGTACCCTCCTCACAGGGTTTGCCTCTTTCCTTATCAGAAAAGAGCTGGCACAGCATCTGGCTGAGGAGAGAGCTATTTCTGAAGTGACTTGGATGTTCCCACTCTGAGCTGGCAGGTTGTCTCAGAGAAAGCTGCATGAAGGTGGCTGAGGCTGGATTATTCACCTGCAGCTTGCCCCATGATTGTTGAGCCATCAGCATTCCAGTCTCTCTTCCAGTGTCACTAGTGAATGCATTTTTCTCCCCAGACCTGGGATGACTGGACAACAGTATCCCCTTTATCCTAAATTCCTGTCATTGTCCAAATTCCAGTTAGCAGGCATATTTGGGGAGGGGTGGACTTCTGTGATTGCAGATGGACAAGGTTTCTTTGCAGTCTCCTAGAGCGGGCAAAAGTCCTCTCATAATTTTTGCAGTGTTTAAACCATTAACTTGAAACAATTTTAATAGCTCCAGAGATGCAAAAATTCACTTTCATGTTGGGCTGCAGGTGAACAATCCAGCCTCAACCACCTTCATGCAGCTTTCTCTGAGACAACCTGCCAGCTCAGAGTGGGAACATCCAAGTCACTTCAGAAATAGCTCTCTCCTCAGCCAGATGCTGTGTCAGCTCTCTTCTGACATGGTGAAGCCAGCAGGAATCCCTTCAATGGTCCCAGCCAAAATCATGACTGAGGGAGATAGCAGTGGCATTTAGTGCTATGCAAGGCCAGGGCTGTGCTGTGCAATGGGACACTGGACACTCAAACTGCAGTTTTAAAGTGCTTGAAGCACAGCACAGAGATGCTACAAACAGAATTTGTTTCACCAGAGTCCTTTGTTCACACACCATAAAGCAATGAGTTAAGGATCTGTTTTATACTGGGATTGAATTTCTTTATTTTAATAAGGTGAGCTGTATTCATCTGTACCTCAGACTTCCAGATCTTGCACCAAGAAACTTCTCTGAGGTCCAAACTAGGGCCACCTAGTTGTGAACTGGATGCAGGAGACCTGAGTTATTCCTGCTGGCACCAGAGAGGAGGCAAGGTGTGGAAACCTCAGTCTCCACTGGAACCACAAGCAGCTGCCTCCCTCATTGCCCAGTGTGCACCCCATGCCTGCAGCACAGCACAGGTCTAGCTCAGCTGGGGCAGAGAGCCACCCACCGCCACTGCCTGGGCTCTGGGTGTGGTCTGAATGAGCACACGGTGGGGCCATGGCTCCTCTCCTTGGCCCAGTGCCAATGTGCTGAAAGAAAACATAATGTGGAATAAATGTTCATTTATACTTTTGCAGGAGATGGGGAGGGATATAGGTTTGTGCTACAACACACAGCATAGAATTTGTGGTGTTTCTGAACCAAAGCTAGACAACTCCTGGAGTGCACAGGGAAGGTCCCTTTGAAAAACAAAACCCACCATTAACATCAGTAAAAAAAGCCCTCAGCAGAATTACAAAAAGCACAATTGCTTCCCAAAGCCAGTCTTGGGTGTTCTGGCAAACACTCCATACAAAACACTCAGCTGTTAAGACTCCTGGTTCCTAAGCTGGCATTTTTTTAACCCATTTCCTATTCAAGGTGTTTTCCAAACTAAGGAGCATAATTTTGCAGATGTTTTGTCCAATTTAATATCAGCTTTTGAACAGTTTCCAAGGTATTTTGCCTGAAATGGCTTGTAAGGGGTGGCTGCTGAGAATTTAGAAGGTCAACATTCTGCAGGTTGATTCTGTTACAGATAAGAGAATAAAAGGCTGGAGGAGAAGGAAGAGAATGGCAGTATCACTGCTGGAAGCAGAGGCAGAAGCAAGCGATTTTCAGTCCTTTTGACTTGCCCACAGAATGGCAGCACTGCCAGGGAAAGGGTGAAGGCCTCTTGAGGTACCTTACATTAACTCCAGAAGCAGGAAGCATGGCCAAGGAATTGGTCTTTTCTTTTTCAAAATATCCTTTTCCTGGTTTTAGTTAAGTCCTGCAGGACCCCAGATATAACAACTACTGCTCTTCCCTTAGCCCCAGAACTTGTTACCCTTGGTAATACAAGGAAATTAAGTGGGCTGGCCAGTCCATTCTTGACAGAGGCACAGTGGCTGTCACACCTCTGCATTTACTTCTTTTATTGTTGAATTTGCACTGAAAGACTTAGCAGAGCTCTCTCTGACAACCTACAAGCAATCCAGCCTGTGACTACCATACAAGCAGAAATCCTCCCCTGGGACTGCAACTGCCTTGCCTTCCAAGTGCAATAAATGAGTTGGCTTCTTATTCATTGCAAAGATTTACATGTGATCAAGTGAAATGACAGTGATGACAAAGCTGGTCAAATGCACTTGAAAGGATCAGTGTGTGGCCTCCTCTGCCATGGACCTGGTGCTGCAGCCTCTGATGAATTGCACTCCCTTGTAGCCTAGAAAAACCTATCTTTTAAACAGCAGCAGCTTTCCAGCATGGCATGTTACTCACCATCTTTGAGGATTAAAAGGTTTTGGACAACAGCTAGAAGATACTATTTCAGACTGCCATGTAGCAAGACATGACTTGCAAAGTAAAGTATGAGGCTCCCACGTGAAAGGGAGCTGTGAGGACATGCAAGGTCCAGAGCCTGTCTCCCACCTGTGGTGTGGGGAGACTGTGCTACAAGATCCCACATCCCACCTTCTACAATCATCTCTATGCTCCTGCTGAAGCTTCACAGCCTTTCTAAGCAGGCTGGGCAGATTCAGACAGCTGTCATCAAACCACAGAGATGCACTCTGGAGCTTCTTCTCAGCCTGGAGGTTTACACACAGGGGAGAAACATCACAGACCTCCAAACCCAACCACCGACTGACACTTGACTCTGCAAGGAGCAAAGTCCCCTTCCCTCTCCTACAGCACTGTAGGAATAACTGGAAATCAAGATTCAACAAGTAACCACCACAAGACACTGGAGCAAAAGTTATCTATTTTATTACAAAACCAAAACCAGATGCCTTTCAGTTTAACAAATTTACCATAGGCAGAAATGCGCTGGGGCAGGTAAGTTCAATATAAACTCAGGCCATGGAAAGCAGTGCCTTCCCACAAATGAATCCCACACTGTAATGCAATTTCCTACAACACACTATGCCCCTGGAAGATCAGTAAGAAAGAAAGATTTTTTATTTCTGGCAGGATGAACAGATGACTTGCACTGTCGAGTCCTGGTTCTCTTCTCTGTCCCAGCCGTTTACAGCCGTCATTCAAAGCAGAGCTGGAGAGGCCCAGCAGGACTTGAAGAATGAGGAGACACATGCCCAGGGTCTGCTTTCAGACACAACACTGACACTCCCTGTGTCCCAGCTTCAGGAAGATGCTACTGATGCAAGGCAGAGCAAAAGACTGCTTACAAGCACTGGATAAGGATGATCTGGCCCAGCAGCCAGGTGGAATGGCAATAAAACCAAGAGGGAAAACAGGCAGCTGAGGCACTGCTCTCATCCATGAGTACAGGTTCTTGGACAGCTCATAGCATGGCCTATGTCAATCAGGACCAGAATGGTCTGCACAATCCTCCAAACAAACTCAGAACAAGTAACCTGATCTCTCCCTCGACATTACACAATCATGCTGGTTGGGCCTTCCATGGCAGTGTACAAGTGTTGCCAGAAGCTGCTCAGAGACCCATGCAATTTCAGCAAGTCAAGATGCAGGGACTTGGAATTGTCTTGTGACAAAGGAAAGTAATGTTATGCCTGGTCCCCAATCCATCCATAAAGTCAGCCCTGGCCTAGCAAAAGGAATATCCACAAATACCAAAGTTAACCAACAGCCACCCCTTGTTTGCCTTCCTTAAAGAACTGACCCAATTTCAGTTGCAAATGACATGTGAGTGCAGGCCTCTTGGAGGGGAAGGGCACAAGGATGAGAAAAAGGAGGTCAGCAGAAGGAGTTATATAACAACCACAGGAGTGGTGGCTGGCTGGTTTATTTCCAGAAGATGCAGGGAGTTTTAGCAGCTCTGCAGTCCCTCCACAATCTTGTGGGGCATTTCCCAGCCCCAGTGTTTGGCTGATAGAATTCCTAGAGACATCCAATTGTCTGTTTCTGCTGGATAGAACTATACATTAAAAAAAAACCCTGACCAAAGAAAAACCCTACCCACAAAAAAACCCAAAAACTCCACACCACCAAACACCATCCAACACAGCTGTCAGAACTTTTAATTCCTAAAACTAGAATATTAAAATGGACAGGAGTTTTTTAATAGTTGGTTTCATTCTTTACTCCCTACAAGGAGTAGTACTCCCTACTCCCTACAAGGACTAGTGAGTGTGGCATGGACATTTCTAACTATACACTAAACCAAATTATTTCAACACACAAAAGATATGCCCAGGGCATTAAAAAAAAAAAAAACAAACCAAAAAAACAACCAAAACAAAAAACACAACCCCAAAAAAACCAACCAAGCAAACAAAAAAAAAAAAACCAACCCCAAAGAACAACAAGAGAAACAAGAGAAGAAGCAATCAAGAAGGTGGGAGCTTGCAGGCCAAAAAAGCACATACATTGTATGTGAGAAACCATGAAGATCCAGCAGCAGGATCTGCTCTTGCATAAGAGATGACTTCTTTGTACTATGATGGTATGATGTACATTTCAGATATTACCAGAAGTGTTTTTAACCATGCCATACGTTTTAATTAGCTCCAATATACTTCCCAGAGGAAGACTTATTACTACTCTTAATCAGGTGTTTATAGAAAAGCTTGTTAGTTTTTATTTTATTTAACTTTCCATTTTGTCAACAAGCACTAACTTACTGCATCAGGACACTTTATTTTGGTGATGTATTTCTCTCATGCTATTGTCACAATGACATGACAGAGTGAAGATGTTGCATTGTATTATCTTTTACCAAAGCAACGTAGCCTTGAAGGATGAGTCCAGTCTCTACTGTTACCTATTGCTGTTACAAGTTATTGTTGGTGTGATCTCATATTAGCATGTCATTTCATCATCTTCACTACAGTTTCTTCTAACAGGTTCTTGGTCCAGAGATAAGTGGCAGAAGGATCACCAGGTCAGAAGTGGAAGGCTGCTCAGAACAGGCGAGTGCTGCCAGTGGTTTGAAATACACAAAGCAAAACTCTGCGTGTCCCATCACACTCTGCCCAAATCTAGGATTGTTGATATGGGCACTCCTGCCAAAGAAACAACTCTACCAAAACTGCTAGTGGTTGACACAGCCCCTGTGACCTCCAAGAACACCAGACTCCTCTCTCCAAGCCTTCACTGTTACTGCTGATCACACCCCCGTGTCACAGTACTCAGGAGGTACTGGCAACAGCAAATCAGGCAAAGTGGGCAGGCACACCAGTGTGCAGGAGCAGAGCTTGGATTCACAACCACCAAGGACAAGAAAGTCACTGCTGACAGACCTTCACCAGTGAGCATGGCCCAAGCTGTACTGCTGCAACATAAGGAAAGCAGACTCTTGGGGACAGCAGCAATTGTGTCTGTCTGCACTGACAAGTATGTCCTTTGCTCTTCAGCAAAGCACAAGGCAGGCTAATGCTGCTTTTAGCAGGCTTCTCAAAATGTTTATTGCTGTACAACATACAGACGAACACTTTGTCAGAGCAGAAGATGCAAGACTTCACTCCACTGACTCTACTAGGCCTACGGCTCCCACATCCTTCTTACAGCTTTAGATTCCAGAGGCACGGACCAGCTTTGCTAAGCATGTTATCTGAGCATGAATAGCAATGTATTTGTATTTAATTTCTGCCCAACTTGCAACAGGTGCACACACTACTGTTGTACATCCCTAATAGAACCCTTTCCTATCCCTACTTTAAGCAGCTTTGCAGTGCACCAATACTTACATGAAATCTGTGCCCTCAAAAGCCCAATTGCCTAAGTTGCAGAGAGCTTTATGGTAAAAAAAGGGGTTCAGCTGCCCTCAAGAAGCATTTGGTATCTGGGGCACTATGTGCACATCTGCAAGAACAATTCATGCTGATACACTGGCTCCTTTCTGCATGGAGGTGCTGTTCAGGCTCACCACTGACTGATGGCTTGGTGACAGAAATGAATGCATTACTATAATCCATTATATGCAAAGTGTCCCTCTAACCCTAACAGCCTTCAAAAGCAAAGGGAGGAACAGAACAGTGACTCCAACCCCTGTACAAGACAACTGTACAATTTACATATATATTTATATACAGTATATAAAATTCTTTGAGTCCCAGTGAACTCAATTTTACATCATCAGTAGCTGTTCTAATTTTAAAAAGTCATGATCCTGCTTCCCTCCACTTTCCAAAGTATTAGATAATGGCATTGAAAAGCAATTTAAAAAAAATCCAAACCAATTTTTTAAAAGTGCAAATGTTCTGGGTGCCACTTTTGCTGCGCTGGATGTTGCTGATGCTGCGTGCTTGCTCACAAGCAGCAAGGTGTCTGTCCGTCTGTCACTGGATGTTTTCTTCCTTTGGGTCAGCTCCTGTCTGTCTTTCCTTCTTGTCTTCTACTGCTACACCAGGCGACCTACTGAAAGAGTGGGGTGGGGTGAGCAAGGAGGGAAAAACAGAACAGAAGCAGAACAAGTAAGAGAAAAAGGCAAATCAAAACAAAAAGAAACCTGACCAATAAAGATCCAGTACAGCCTCTGCTGAAGCCATGGCCTCAGAAAGCTGAGATCCCAGAATAAGCTGTGAGGCTGAAAACAACCAGGGGCTAATGAGACAGCCTTGCTGGAAAAAGCACTGAATGAGTCACATGAAGCCTTAGGGACTGGCATATTTTTAAACACAAAACACCACTTTCCTCCCCCTCCTTGGAAATGGGCATGCAGTCTAGGGAAACAACTGGTCCAACATCCCTTGCTTTACTCTTCTGCCTGGCACAGCTGATGCAGAAACCCACTGCTGCCAGGCTACCCTGCCACCATCTCCCCATCAGCCACAGCCAGCTGCCTCCTTCTCTAGCAGACAAACAGGTCTTGGAGGACTTTCTTCAAAAGAAAGCTTCTGTTAAGCCCCTCACCAAAGGTTCTTAAAGAACCAAAGCTCTTATGGGATCAGAGCTAGAGCTCTGTGGATTAATTACAGATGAAAACATGCTAAAGAAGACAGCAAAAGTAGGGATTTGAGGGAAAAAGGAAGGAAAGGCCTCAGTGAGATCAGTGCTGATTAACATGCCCTGTCACAGGAGGGCAAATATTGTCAAATGCAAAATTATTTCAGGTAGCCATATTTGCAATCAATTGCACAGCTCTGCAAAAGATGCCTGCAGTGCTCAATGACCAGCTCATAAAAACAACAGATTGTTTTCCATATCTCTAAGTGCAGTGTAGCGTGGGAGTGCAGATGACCTGTCCTACACTTTGAGTGACAAGGAGGGGGCTGAAGCTACAGCAATTGTTCAAATGCCTCTGCTCATCTTTTAGCAGCAGGCAAAAACCAAGTACACACTCAGAATGGAGGACACACCAAGAAACATCATATCATCAATGCACAAGGTGTAGTTGATCTTTATCTTCAGCTCTCTGTTCAGTCCATCTCACCAGGACCTGATACATTCCCCAGGAAGACAAGGAGGACAGCAAGAGGTATAGGAAGACTTCTGGCACTAAACAAATACACTGCCTAGGTCTCCTCAACACAAAAAGGAGTCTAGCCAGACATATGTAGGACAGCTATAGAACAAGTAGCAGAAGATACAGGCAGGGGAGAACTTCTCACTGCTTCTTACAATCCAAAATGAGAAGTACCCAACAAAACCACGAGGCTGCAAGTCTAAAAGCAAAGCAAATGATGTTATTGTTCATGCCTGATGAAAGGGTCGGTCTATGTGATTCAATGCCCAAAATACTGGGAGAGCAGACCTTTACCACGATAGAGAACAGTCTTCATGGGAACTGGTCCATGGAGTGATGGAATGTAAACACAACAAAGCACCTAAATTACTGCTCGACAGAAGAAGGAAGAGTAGGATAGGAGTCATCCCATAGCTGCTTCATCCTATTCTAATTCCTTAGCAACATATAGTCTGTTTCAGCAAAAGACATAGAGCTGGACTTTGAAATGATGCAATGGAGCTGCACATTGGTGTATTTATACCTCTTAAGAACAACTTTGGTTTCCAGCTGTTTCTATATTGCTCTTCATGAACATAGGAGAACAGGGGAGAATGAATTCTGCAATACATGCTTATCACAGGAAAAAAGAAACATTTTGACAAGATACTCACTGAAAGGGTTAAGGCCTTGTCTTTTTCCATTGGGCAAACTGCTCAGGCTACCTGTAAAATCCAAGAACCACATTAAAGGAAGTAAATGCCATGGCATGACAAAGGAGCCTTCCCTTGTCTGTTGCCAGAGAGCAGGTTCAAAGCACCTACTCTGAGCATGCTCGCAGCAAGTCCTGCCAACAGGAGTCACGTGCAAGAGTCTAACCAGTGTGCCTGAGATGAGAGATTTTAAATACCTGGTGTTGTAGTAGCTGAGTATAATGAAATCCAGAGGTTTTGCGTGGGCAAGAAACAACAATTACAAGGTTAAACTGAGCAGTAGATGGAGAAAGAAGAAAGGAAGGATGCAAGTAGTATCCTGAAGTTTCCCCAAGCAAGCAAAATAATGCCATGTAGAAAGGAGGAAGACAGAAGAGAGTGAAGGTACAGGCAATACAGACAGCCCAGGTTTATTAAATCTTTCACTTGAATCAAACAAACAAGTGCCTAAAGTCAAAGACCTGAACTTATACCTGGCAGAAGGGCAGAACTGTGACTGTGTTATAACAGGTACACGTACCCTACACCAGATGGAGCTCACGGCAAGGGCCTCTGCACTGGGTACAGACAGCTCAGGGATTACAGGAGCTGTTGAAATTATGCCACACTTCCTGTGAACTGCTTCCTCTGATGTCAGAGGAGGGGCGAGCTGAAAATGGGAGCTCCTGCTCCCAGCCAGCAGCAGTAAGCCTGTTGCCACCCTCCACTCCATAACTTTGATTTGTGCATGCACATGACCTGACTGCACAGCTTGCTCTGCTCATCAAGTACTCTACTGCACATGCTTCTTCTGTGCAGAAGCAAGATGGGCAGAAGCTCAGAGGGCAGGGGTGAGGTGCAGGAAGCCCCAAGGGCCAGGAGGCTGGGCTGTAAGATAGGAATGGAGCTGCTGAGAAGAAAAAGCCAGAGGGAGAAAAGGTGTCAGTGGCCAAGGCTGAAATAGGTCACAAAGCACAGCCTGTTTGCTTTAGAGGACATTAATAAGAAACTGTGTAAGCACAGAAAGTTATTCCAAGACCCTGAACACCGGCCCGGTACAGCCACCCATCCTGCCCGGATCAGCAGAACCGCGGCTCGCTGATGTCCGGTGTCAAATGCGGCTCTGCTGCCGTGGGCAGAGGCTCCACTGCCAGGGCCAGAGCATCTGCCTGGCCTGACTGGCACTCACAGCCTGGGCCCTTCATGGGTGGCTGCCAGGGCCCCGGAGGGCACTGCCAGCCTGTGCATCACTGCCCTGGCTGGCAGCCTGGGGAAGCCAGAGGGCATCCAAGAGAACCCTCTCACCTTTACTGCACAGTGCAGGTAAGCCTGCAGCACAGCGCTATGCATGAGCACAACCGATCTTTGGAAAGAGCTGAGGGAGCACTGCCTGTCTTTGGAAAGAGGTGGGGATCCCCAGGCCGGGGCATCCTTCCCTGCCATGGCTGGTATGAACTGAACCACTGCTGCACATGGCCCCGTGCAGCCGTGTGGGAAACCGTGCTGGGGCTCATCCCCTGCTGCGCTGGGGGCAGAGAGCACTGCCCTGCCTGCCTGCCATACCAACCAGGCCAGCCATGTGCACCTGTCAAAGGCAAAACCCTGCCACAGTAACTCTGCACTGCTGACACACAGGAGAGGAAGGAATATGGCAGGTGGTGACCGTGGGTTACTAACATATACCTGGGAAGCCCTTGGGCATTATGGGGTAACATCCCATCATGTGGCAAGTTTCATAAAGCTGAGTATTTGCTCATCCTCACAAGTACACTCTCTTGGATAACAGTACTAGTCACACTGGATTAGGCTAGGTGTCTTTCAAAGAAAAAAACCCAAGGAAACCCCAGCAGCTTTTCATAGGAAATTATTATTCTTCAGACATACTGAGCAAACCTTTCACCTTCTGGGGAGAGAAACAGCCTTATCTCATGTTCTCAACACAATACTGATGTCCTGATTCATACCATCACTTACTTTTGTCAAGATTAAAGGCAAATTATAGCACCTCTACAAAGCTCCAGAGGGGAGGATCTTAACAAGACAAACAAAACCAAGCACTGAATGAGTACAGCTCCTTTGATTCTAATCTAATAGCACATAAATGTACTTTGAAATTCCTTTTTAATTCAGTCATTACCTGGTTACAGTTTTCTCATGGCCACTCACAATTGTTATTTTCTATCACTGGTCCAGAGGCCTTTCCCAGGTGATTGCTCTTTGCTACCTTCTCTCACACAACGACTTGTACAGTAGTGATATAGAGCAACTCATTCCCAGCCTCCCAGGCATGCAGTTACTTCTGAAGATAGCAATAAGAAAGGTCCAAAACATCACTGAATGAAACCTGCTGTTCAGATTGTCTGTCTACTTTTCCTTCTTTCTGTAACATTTCCTCAGATTCAGTAGAAAGTGACATTCTGTTTAATTAAACATATATACACTTTTTAATTAAGACATTTCAATCCTGTTTCTGGACTGGCTTTTGGTGGCTGGGTTCCACCTCAGACGTCCTCATGTCCTGTGAAGCATGCCCAACACCTACCATCTGACAAGCTCTTGGACCAGCAAAGCAATCACAGGATCTGAGCTGGCAGAAGGGAACTTCCCGTCAGCTGGCAGAGGGACATTTCTTTGCTGCTTATTCCCTTAGCTCCTCTTTGGGCAGGCACAAAATGCTGACTTTGTCTCCTGAATTTGGAAGAATATAGAGGTAAAACTCAACTCCAACATTTTGCAGCCAGCACAACTAGCATAAGCCTCACTCGGATCTACAGCCCTGATTAATTGAACTCCAATTAATCTTGGGTCCAGTAACATTCCAGCAAAGCTTTACAATATGTGTCAATCTCCTCTCAAGGATCCTGCCTTTTGACTAATGGAGAGAGATACATTTGTTTTTTGATCACAGATGGTTCCCCCCTTAACTCAGGCTGTGCAGACTGTGCTGAGGAATGCTAACTTTTAACAGGCTGTAAATCAGTCTGCTTTCCTTCCACAATTCCTCAAACAGACAATCTTAGATCAAGCAATGGCAAAGACTGTTTCTGGCATACTCCAAGCTAAAAGCCCTGCCTGCTTGTTCTGCCCCAGTTGAAGAAGCCATTTGCAGGCTTCTGCAAACACTCAAAGGCTGACTCTTTCATATGGCCACACCATTCTGAGATCCAAGAATGGCATTTTTCCATGTACATAGCCCCTGATAAAAACAAGTCTGGTTTAAAGAGAGGGAAAAGAGCTGTGCAAAGCGGCCACCAGACCTAGCAGATTTGCCAGCAGCTTTTTTGGTCACCATAAGGATGGAAAAGGAAAGGGTTTCTGATAGACTGGGCAGCTCACTTCCTCACTGGAGAACCACTGCTTGGCAATGCCCACATATTAAGTAGCCGCAGGCATAAGGAGATTGCTGTGGAAGGGAAGACAGACACAACTATGCATCTCGAACAGATTTAATTCTAAGCTGGAAACAGCTCAGATTCAGGTTTGTCCTTACAAATATCCTAGCTGAATCCCCACATATAAATCTTATTTGGACTCTCAAGGTCCTGAGAAGCACATAACAGTAATGTGCTATCTATGCTCTATGCTTCCTTTAAGCAGCTCTATTTCCAAGTTTGGATGGAACTGGCTACCAAAAAAAAGCAAAACACTGACAAAAATGCAGAATGCTTAATATCTGTTTTCTTCAGAATCCCAAGAACTATAAATTTGTATTAGGTTTTATTTTCAAAACTATTATAAATGTTCAATTTGCCTAGCAAGAGGCATATACTCACCTTGAATGATGACCCACTTCAGTTTAGTCCTTGTGCTACTGGACCCCCAGTAGCACAAGGACTAAACTGAAGTGGGTCATCATTCAAGGTAGGGATTTGGAACATCTGAGCTAAGTTCAGTTGTAATGAAGTATGATGTTGCAGTGTGATGTAATAGCCTGTCTCAGTATCCCAGTCCTTTCCCCAGGTGTGCCAATAACTTCTCCCTTCCCCTCCCTTGCTCCCTGCTGACTGCTGTCCATCAATCTTGGCATTCCAGCAAGGGCGTCGTGTGATTGGCGAGGTTCAAAAGATGCCTCTCAGTCCTGGGGACATTGGGCCATCCAGGTGTCATTTGTCCCCTGAGACTTCCCCTCCCTTTACCTGGTTGGTGGGATCCCTACCCCTTCCCTCTCCCTGGGGTTAAAAGACACGGCAACCATGCGGTTCCGTAATTCTGTTGGAGCTGTTGCTGCATTCAGAGGCCTGTGTGCCTGGAATAAAGCTCTGGATCGAAACCCTCCAGCAGAGTCCGACTCCTTTTCCTTCACCTCGCCTTAAAGCTTCTCCGCCAGAGGTAAACCTGAGCTCCTGCATGCCTGGACCTGTCCCAAGTGCCTGCTGAGCATCCAGCCAGGCAAAGGCGTCTCTGAGGTGAAACCACCACAGCTGCTGCCTCTGGTCAAGCAGCAAGGCCGGACGAGCCCAGGCACGTTCCATCCAGCTATAGTGGTATTTAATTCCAATAGTATATCAAGGGGAAATTATAACCTTCCTTGCCTCCCTCCAACCCCTCCTCATCCAAGCTAGACCAGAAGAACCTTTCAAACAAAGCTTTTGTTGAAACAGAAACATTTCCATGAAAAGTCCTGCCTTCCTCTGACTAGCAGTTTACAACTGAAAGTACATAATGAAAAAGGTTTTCAATCTAGCTCTTGGCTTGAATCCACAGTGTCCTCAGCCCCAGCAGATCTTTGGAGGCCACAGTACAGAGAAAGAAACAAACAGCAAAATACAGGGACTGACTACATGCACCTATGGTCCAGAAAAGGAAAGTTAGAGAAAGGGTAAGATGGCAGAATCATAGAATGGTTTGGGTTGGAAGGCATCTTAAAGTTAATCTTGTTCCAACCCCCCTGACATGGGCAAGGACACTTTTCACTAAACCAGGCTACTCAGAGTCCCATCCAACCTGGCCTTGAATACTTCCAGTAATGAGGCATCCACAGCTTCTCTGGGCAATCTGTTCCAGCTCTCACCACCCTCACAGTAAAGAATTTTTTTCTCACACCTAATTAAACTTACTCTGTTTCAGTTTGAGGTTATTTTCCCTTGTCCTGTCACTTTGTGCTCTTGTAAAAAGTCCCTCTCCCTCTTTCTTACAGGCTCCCTTCAGGTACTGGAAGGCCACACAGTTGGGTCACCCCAAGCCTTCTCTTACAGGGTGTACAATCCCAGTGCTCTCGGCCTTTCCTCACAGTAGAGATGCTCTGTCCCTCTAATCATCTTGCTGGCCTCCTCTGGACTCATTCCAACAGGGCCTTGTCCTTCCTGTGCTGGCACCCAGAGCTGATGCAGCTCTGCAGGTGGGGTTTCAGCAGAGCAGAGGGGCAGAATCCCCTCCCTGGCCCTGCTGCCCACACTGCTCTGGATGCAGCCCAGGACACGTTTGGCTCTCCAGGCTGGGAGTGCCCATGGCTGGGTCATGTTCAGCCTCTCAGCCAGCAGCACCCCCAAGTCCCTCTGGGCAGGGCTGCTCTCAATCTGTTCATCCATAGCCTGTGTTGACATTGGGGATTGCCCTTAACCATGTGCAGGACCTTGCCCTTGGTTGTCTTAAACCTTATGAGATTCCCATGGGGCCACTTCTTGAGCTTGTCCATGTCCCTCTGGATGGCATCCCATTATTCAGACATGGCAACTGCACCACTCAGCTTGGTCATCTGCTAATTTGCTGAGAGTGCACTCAATCCCACTATGTCATTAATGAAGATATTAAATAACACTGGTCCTGTATGAATCCCAAGGGACACCACTTGTCCCTGATTCCCATCAGGACTCCGAGCTGTTGACCTCCACCCTCTGGATGTGACCATTCAACCAATTCCTTATCCACCTAATAAACCAACCATCTCTCTACAGTTTAGAGAGGATTTGTGGAGGACCATGTCAAAGGCAAAGATACTGACTGTTTCTAAATTTAGCAGTTCTTATGAATAGGAAGCATAGAAAATATGTCATCTACCACCTCACAACTTCACAACTTCTTAAAAAAGATGCATTACAAACTTGTTTACTGCACCTCTGGAGCACTCTCACTCACTTCTTTCTTCCATGTTAGTACCTGCTGTCTGCACTGCCCCCTGCCCTGCTTTTTAGTCCTCACCATCCTTTAACTTATCCCTTTATCTTTGATCCTCAAGGCTTATCAGGTTTGTAGTAGGTATGTGGAGCTGTACGACAGAGTAAGATCAGAGCCCCTTTTTGACCACAGTCCTGTCCTCATACAACAGAGGAAACCATGAAAGGTCAAGGATGTGTTCTCAGTAAACAGCTGGACAATCAGGCACTCACAACAATGTCACACTGCCTTCTCTCCCCTTCACATGGGCTCAAAGTTTCACATTCTCTTTCTTCTCTCCCTTTGATTTTTTTCCCCTTCCATAAACTAAATTTTGAACATCCAGTTGGCCAGGGCAGCAGATTCCAGAGAGTCTTATTGCAGGCCAAATAGCAATAAAACTCATTTGGCGTATTCGTCTTATTGGGAAGGTAATAAAATTAAGGATTGCTATTTTGGTATGTCATTCCTCAGTAAGGTACTGATGACTAAAAAAACACCTCCACAGGGCTAGGGAAGCTGAATGCTTCTCACAGCCGACAAGTAATGCTATATGCTTATTATGGTAACAAAGATGCTTGCAAAGCACCTAGAAAATGCAACTTCCCAACACCTAAATGTACTGACTCCCTTCCCACTCGTGCAAAATCTGAGAAAAGGACTAAGGAAAGATTAAGATGGCAGAAAAAAAAGCTATCCACCCTTCCCAACTACTGTGACACATATAACAACAGCTGCAAAGCCAAAACACCTGCACAGGAAATTAGTCCCCTGGAATCTCCCTGTTTGCCTTCTCCTGCCAAGCAAGTCTGCCCACAGTCAAGAATGACTGATAATTATTGAATTTGGGTTGAACTGTTTCAATTCCTAAAATTTCCAAAAATATCAGTTTGGTTCAGGTCCCAACAGATGATGAGGTGAAGATGAAAAAAGGAAGAAAAGGCAGGAGGGGGGGTTGATTGCTCAGACACTAACCAGAAAGGAAAAATAGGTTATTCACATGCCTTATTTCTCTACCAATCTCAAAGTACAATTTAAGTTTGAAAAAGGGCAACAGTACAGCCCTGTGCTTGTTTTCTGAGTTGTTCTCTTTGCATCATCTACTCTCCTGTATGCTGAATTTAGCAATGAAAATAAATATTATTTTCTGTTAGTAAACAGGGTCTCCAGAGAAGGCCTGGGTCTGTGCTGGCTCATACATCATCCAACCTGCATGGCTGAGACAACAGAATCTTGTTAGCATGGTATTACTCAGAAGGGACCTGATCTTAACTACAGTTTCCAAGGACATCAACAATACAAACAGAATAAATTAGGAAAAAGTCTGGCCAAGAACTCCTATCTATTGTCTTGTTTCTGTATAGTGCTTAGCACAGAGGTCTGTGATAGGGCATAGAAGATGGAGCCATAACACAAGTAACAAACTACATTTGCATGGCAGTATTTTAATCCCACTCGTTTGCTCACACAAACTGTGGCACTTCTGAAATAGCTGGGAGAAAATGTAGTTCTGAATTTGCTGTAACTCAGTTTTTATTTGTCAAGTTTGTTTGTCAGTTTTTACTGTCATGCAATGAAGAAGAAAAGGCACTCACCTCCTTCCTTGCTGACTCCCAGACACCCTTTCAGCTCCTGAAGTGAGATGGACTTGTCCTTGTTGAGGTCACAGTAGTCAGTGAAACGCCGGGCACATTTCTTGGGCTTGGCTTTCTTCTTCACATAACGTTTGAAGGGCTTTAGCTCCCGCTTGTTGATGTCATTGCTGCTGTTGTTGTCCAGCTGGCTGAAATACCAGTGCACCACTCGCTCCTCTAGCGTGTGGCTGGGGTCTGGCTCAGAGAACCTGGAACAGAGGAAGCACAGGCCCCCAGCAAGGGGTGCTCACACCAACACTGTCAAGCACATGCTGAGCAGCAAGAGCTGCTCAGTGAATCAGGCAAGTGCTATGCTGTGTTCAAAGTAAGCAAAAAACACAGGTCTTCCAATCTCCTCCTTTTAGCTGGGCTCTTTTGAGATAGATGAACTTTTTCTAAAAATGTCCTTTAGCATTTACAAGTGAATTGCCAAGAGAATCTTGGAGTCTGATACCATCAGTAGCTGTGGTTCTCCTCACACCAGTTGCTGAAACTCTGCCTAATCCCAGAATGATCCTCATTAGAGGGCAAGAGACAATCTCCTTGGTCCTTTTGGCCCTTGGGCTCCCATTCAAATTACCAGCAAGAGATCCATGAGTGTCAGCTGTTGTGGTAGTTTCTGTGACAGTAACATCTAGCTTCAGAAAGGGAACAAATTAATTTAATGCAAGACACATTCATTATTTGAAAATGTCCTTGGCAAGATACAATATTATTCTCCCTGTATCTGTTTACATAATCTGAACTCCTCTGCTGTATTTTCTGCATTTTTCATGCTTTTCACATACCTGATTTACACATAAGAGTTCCACAGAAGATAAAAACCACAAATCCATTAAAAGCAGTATTACAGAGCTGGCAACTTCAGTTTGTTTCATTTCTTAATCATTGTGGTGTTACAAGTTTGATGCTATTTGACTCATATTTTCCTTCTGTAGACAACAATAATATCAGAGAAGAAAAGGAGAAAAAAACAAGGAAGAGCAACAGCTATAGACACACAAATACAGAATGCTGCCTGTCAACCTCATGCCATCACTGAACAGGTACTGTTATGTCATACCATTTAAGCAGTGTCTGGTGCTCTGCATCAGCAGTGGGAAAGGGGGTTATTCCTCAGGGATACTGAGAACCTGGGAAGAAACTCTTTCCAAGCTAGTCTGTCTTTTCTCCATATGATGAGCATGCCAACAGAGAAAGCTGAAAAGATGCTGAAATGAGGCTGAGGCCTGAACCTTTTTTTCCTCCAAGAATAAAGCATTTTAGTGCATGGAAATTAGTGGATAGGTAGTCAGACATGCTACACTGGCACTGATTGCTCTGACTTACTCCAGTAAACATATCCAGCTGCTGCATAAATTCCTTCCCCAGGAAGGAGAGAGGAACAGTTGCCTACTGCAGGCAGCCAGATTCTGGTGTGAGTTTGGAGCATTCTAGCTGATGGAGAAACATGAACCCAAGTACCCCTATAAAATGTTCTCCAAGACTGCTGTTGACCTTGTTTCAGAAACTAGTAGAATCTATACTTATATAGTCACTGAAGTTTGGAGGTTTTTTTGTTGGGAACTAGGAGAGAGAAAATTCTTTTGACTTGCTGGTGTGACGAGTTTTGCCTTTAAAATGCAGCTACACAGCCTGAAAAATACCCCCTCACACATGGTACCCCTATGGTAAATTAAATAATTTGTGAGGAGGACTCTGCAGCATGCAGAAAGAAAGAACTGGAGTTTAAGTGAAGAACTGAGATCCTCATTAACCTTTTCTGATGGCTTTTACAAATAAGGATAGAAATTAGAAAGGTAGCCCCTATCCAGAGATACATGAATCCTTGTAACAAGTAAACACAGTACAGAGAGGCAGATAAACTGTATAACGTTTTTCCCAGGGTTTTACTTGAAACTGTTTTCTTCATTTAATTCTTAACTGAGAGGCAGGCTGGCATTCAGTCACAACATCTGGTGAATGTACAATGGGATAAACACTGTGCAGGAGGAAGAAGGGGTTAGGAATAAGTCTGCCTTAGTTGGGGAACCAAAATACCAGGCAAGGACCAGGAATCATCTATAGACAAGCAAAAATTGCAAAATTCCCCTCCTCCCCCCAAAGTTAAGGAATTGTCCTGATTTTCTAAACTGCATGCATTGACCAGAATGACAGGAGAGAACAGAAACACATCCTGTGTCTTGTCTTTATGACATTTATTACCATAGCTATTGGTCTCTCTCCCTTTTGGAAAGAAGCTGGCTATCATTTGAAGACGAGCATGTTTCCAACAGGCTCAGAGGAGTTCTGTATTGCCAGGGGCAATACTCTGCCTTTGCTGAAACAGAAGGATAAAACCCGAGCTTTTGCATGTGAGACTGCCCTTGTTCACACCTTGGCTTGCCCTCATTTACTGAAGGCCCACAACTGGAGAGGCAGAAATGGAGAAAATAGCAGAGCATCTTAGAACCAACAGCAGAAAGACAACAGACAAGAGCTTTTCACTACTGAAGAGGCACTCAGAAGCAGGATTTTAAAGTGCCTCTTTTCCAGGGGCACACCAAGGAGGAGCTTTTATGAGTTAACAAGAAAAGCAACATGGCTCTCTTCAGCACTTCCACAAAGAAAATGAGGGACATTCACAGGCTAATACAAATACATTGACTCATGAGGTGACACTAAATCAATCTTTGCCATTACAAACATGCTGATAGCTCATGCTGAAAACTGCAGCATGCTAATAAAGCTAAAAGGAATTAGTTTAATGGCTATGACTTTAGGAAAAAGGAAGATACAGCCATTTCTGTGTTTTTACCACTTTCTGTTGGCTGGCTAACAGAACTGCAGTTCCTGAGATGGTTGGTTGCCTTCCATCTCTGGTTGTCATCCAGAATGCCAGCACAGGAAGCATCCCCATCATCTCAGGGTGGCTCATGAAATTATCATCATATCCCTGGCTCATGAAATTCCATGATACACTACAGAAGGATGAAGTTGCAGTACTGTATTTAACTACCTTGACTTAGAGCACTGCCCGTGAAAGGGACTTAGGCACCACCCATGAAACATGAATTAATGCAACTACACAGCACTGCTAGGCCACCTAGCTTTGCTGATGTGCCATGACACCAGCCGTGCCTGCCGGGTCAGCTCAGACAAGTCGGGGCTCTAATTGCCCTGTGAGCACACACTTGGCAGTATTCCAGGGGATTGTCCCTCCACTTTCTCCCCATACTATTTCAAGGGAAGTAAATCAGCCCTCAGATATAAACTTCATTTATTGGGCCACCTCTCATTCAGACCATAAAGGAATCAGAAAAATCAGGACAGAACAAAGCTGTCCTGTACCTTTTCAATTTCCAACATCTCTTGCTCTAACTCCAGTCACGCTAAAAGTCACTGAATTCCAGCACCTTGCTTCAGTGCTGTAGCAGCTTTGTAAAACACAGTAAGAACTACCAAAATGAAGACAGCCTTCTCATGTTGACTGCATTACAGCTGTATTACTTTTCTGCCTAATTGTTCCTCTTTAGCACTCTGTGGCAAAACAGTCAGTCCTAAAGAATGAGCACTAGTGAAGAAAGGTGGTCTGTGTAAACTGATTTTCCAAATGTAACCTGCTGTTGCTGGACTGCTTTTGTACAAAAGCCAGGAAGTTTAGCTCAATTATGCAGCATAAGCCCACCAATATTCCAACACTGAAGAAAAGCACAGTCTGTCATTAACAGACTAAGACAGCAAACCAGCTTTCTAAAAAGTTTGTTGGCATCAAGTATAAAGTCTTCTCCAAGTAGGCTCTTGCTCCTCCTTCAGTATAATGTTCTAAGAGCTCCCTTATAGCAGAACATTTATTTCTTAGGTCACTTATGCTTGAAGATATGTGTGTTAAGGTACAGCAACTTCCAACAATGCTATCTTCCAGATGAGGCACACCTCCACAGAATGCCTTCACATCATCTGGTGTCACTGAAGAACACAAAAAGGCTGTGCAAAACCATGGACATACACTTTTTAAACGGCACTGAATGCTGGAGAATGACTGCCAAAATATCAAACAGGCAGCTTGCATGTGCACTGTGCATGCAATCTGTAATGCTTTTCAGCCCTCAAGGCCCCTTGTGAAAGGAGCAGTTAGCTTAGTGTGAAGGAGCAGGGAAATAGGGGAGAAATAGAGGCTGAAGTATACAAGAGCAGCAAATGTGAGACATGACTCCCCTAAAGAGCCATGTACAGTGTGCCATCACATTATGCTCCATAGAACTGTGCAAAGTGTAGTATGTGCCACTACATTTTACTAAATAAATTGAAGTCCATTCCTACCAAAGCTGTCCTTTGCTCCCTGAACATTTTTAGCCCCACTGCACAGGCTGCAATCTCTGAAGTACCCATCAGGTACCTGTTTTGAAGGCTTAGAAAATCTATTCTTTTGTACTACCAAAACTTTATGTAGCAACATTAGCAGCTGAGGCAGAAGGACGTAAGAGCAGTAAGATCAGCCCATCATCTAGCTGGGATGCAGAGCCTATAAACCAGAGGGACCTATTCCAGGATGAAAGAACACTGATGGACAAGAAGCTGGTATCAAATGCTACAGAGCAAAAAAAAATTAATTAGTCCAGCTTTCATTCCCAACACACACACAAGGTATGTTTGTGGTCAGGATGTCTAAAGGAGTTAGAGCTGTAAGTTTGTATGACTCGTAAGTATTTTGCAAGGATATATATATATATATATATATATATATATATCCTGCTTGGTGCTGTCGCTGAATGAAGAATGGATGGAGTGTGACTGACCCCTCCAGTCAAAGCCCACGACAGCATTGATGATGACCACCAAAGTTCCAGCACTAAGCATGGAAAGCAATGAGTTTAATAAACTGAGGTAAAATTCAAAATTTTTCTTGCTCTGCTTCCGTTTCTTACTCCCATTTTGTTGTTCTTTGCAGTTGCCTAAAGTCAGTCTGTAACAGTGGAACATGGTTTGAATCAGAGAGGATTACTACAACGGAATTGCAAAAGGATCCTGTATTTGTTTTATTATTCCTCCTTTCCTGTAGCCAAGGAATCAAGAAGCCAACAAAAAACTAAGCTGTGTTCAGACTAAACAAAAGGGTACTACCCAGTCCAAATTAATTATGGGAAATGCATAATTCCTTTACAGTTAAAAGTTATCTCCCTATTACAGGCCAGTTTCTTTCTCTCTTCGGGCAGAAGTTGTATAAGTTGTATAAGTTATATATATAAGTTGTATATGAAACATTATTCTGAACACAATTTTTCTGAAGATTGTAGGATAAATAATTTAGAAGGTTAAAAATCGCATCCTTTCATTCCTCACTGACTGTTCAAAGACCCTCCTCTTATATGAACTCTCCTGTATCTTTAATTAGGCTAGAATTTCCATAAGAAGACAAAGGGAAGTTGGTATCCAACTTCAATTGAAATGCAATAGGAGTTGAGCATCAACTTCCCTGCACTGTTTAAAAGTGTCAATCTTTATTAAAACATGGATTGGCTTCAGAACACCCTGGAGATGTGCTGAGCTGTGCTTGCCTGCTTCAAACTGCTCAACTAGAGCATGAAATGGAACCTCAGGGCCATTTTCTGGAGTACTTTTGGGGACTATTACATGGGAATAAGTGGCAACTGTAAATTAAGGGACTGATAGCTGCTGTGTTACATGATAAGGGTGGCTGTTGTAAGCTGTCCATTTACCTCAAATTCCACAGGGCAATAATATGTTTGCTGATAATGTAGCAAGCCATAATGCACATATTTTGGCAACTAAAACTCATTTCTGAATTGGCAGGGACCAAAGAGAATTTCTCAGATAACAGAAACCCAGGCTGGGATTCCCTATGATCTAGTTTAATTTAGGTCCTCTGTAATATGACTATATTAGAATTAGAAAAGAGACTAAAATGTACTAAAGCTAAGTCTAAATTTTTAAGTGCTGTTCTTATTATATAGTACTCACTTGTGAACAATTTCAACAATGATTTTTTTTTTTCAGTAAGGATACAATGTACTGGCTAATAAACCAATTCTCTACAATTGCTCCCTTAATTACTTTGAAAACATACAGTAACAAGATGTGTCTTGGAATTATAACATAAACTTAAAATTAAGAATGAATTTTACCAGAGATTTTCTGTTTCAAAACTATAAATGAAGTCTATTTGGCTATTATGCTGTAATATAAACCAGGGCCATGAGGAAGGGAAGTTCTCATCTCATTTACATTATTTACATTATTGTAAAGCAAGAGTAACTCAATTAAAGTCAATAGCTTTGAACTTCCTTAAACAAGACAAGACCTATAAGGGAATACAAGGTTGTTTTAAGCATGCCCAGTTTAAAAAAAAGAGTCTTATCAGGTTTTGTTTACATGGCCTGAAAGAATCCAAGCTACTGCCTCACTTTCATGCTACTACATTGTTTTTGGGGGCAATTTAGCACAGCTCTATGTAGTATTTCAAATGCCAATCTCTAATTTCTTCCCATGCTTCTCCCTCATCATCCCACTCTCTCCTCCTCCCCCCACCCCCTCACAAAAAAAAAAGCTAATATGGATATTAATTGCAAAAACACTCAGCAAACACAGAAGTTTTCACTCACATATCTGGATTCAGACTGAAGGTAGCAGGGTAATCTAATCTGATTTCCTTTGTATCATAGTCACAGAATGTGAGTCGAATTATTCTTGGGACCATAACTCAGGTTTGACTAAAGCAAGTCCTTCTGAAACATATCAGGCCTAAGATGAAAGCTTTAGAGAGACGGAATCAGTCCCGCCCCTCATAGCTTCACTCTGGCTCAGAATTGCCCTCGCTTTAAAGAAATTTTGATCACAAGTTTGTTTATATTCAGTTAATCACGTTCTTCCCTGCTAGACTTAGGAGCCTGCAGAGTCTTTGTCCCTATAGAGATACTCAGATTTTACAAAATTAACTTCCAACCTTTTTTTTTTTCTTTCAATACCCTAAGGAAGTCTGAGCTCCTTAAGACTCTCACTGTTAAGCTTTTTTAGTCCTGGGCACTTTGGAAAGGCTCTTCTCTTCCTTTGGTCCTTAATTTTAATATTGATACTAATGATGCATTCTGTATGTCTGGATGTACTGGCTGCCTGGGCACACTCTGGCTCATGTTCAGCTGCTGCAGACCAGCTCTTTTCTGGTCCTTTCTGCTGGGCAGCTTTGCAGTCACTCATCCTCCAGCCTGTAGCACTGCCTGGGGCTGTTGTGAGCCAAGTGCAGGATCTGGCACTTCCCTTTGCTGAACCTCACACAATGACCTTGCCCCTTTGATCCAACCTGTCTAGATCCCTCTCACCCTTCCACAGGTCAACACTCCCACACAACATGGGGCACTCAATCCCCTTGTCCAGGTTGTTGAAGGTGATATTAAACAGGGCCGGCTCCAATACTGAGCCCTGGGGAACACCACTTGTGACTGGCCACCAGCCACTCTCTGTGTCCAGCCATTTTTTACCCAGCAAAGAATACACCTGTTCCCTCCATCAGAAGCCAATTCCTGAAGAGAGAACTCAGGATATTCCTCACCTTGGGACTCTTGGAAAGCCGGACTCACTGCACAGAGACAGCTTCCCAACTCCACAAACACACATGAAATATGTACTGATAAAATTTTTATATAAATATCAAAAATTCCCTGAAATTACTTTTTTAAAAAAATAAAAAGGTCTCATCATGGCCTGTTGGGTTGGAAAAGCTTGACACATGTTATTTGGGGTACATGCTTAGTCTAGCTGAGGCACATGGAAAATTAAACCAGAGCAGTTATCTGAATTTAATCACGGCTGTGGGCCGGCAGAGTATTTGGGTGGTAGCAGTCTTTTGCCTTACCAAGGACAGCCTGCTAAAAGATTTAATTTCCCCCCCTTACAACTGGGCTGCTGACATTGGAGTGGAAAATAAATCAACGTGATGACTGTGTGAAGAGCTGGGCAGTGAAAAATTCCACCAGAAAGGCCTCTATTGAAAGCTGAGAAATACACAAAGCTTGGGGAACATTAGGAAGCAAGCCTGTTGGTTTATAGAAGCGCAGTGGGGGCATACATCCCTGGTCTCTGCAACATTGGTTTATATTAAGCTTTATTTTAAGAGTGATGATTACATTGGCTGTGTTTCAGTCCCAGTGCCAAAGATGCCAAATAAATATCAAATACTCTCCAGGGCTTCCCACCACCCCTACCCGCTGCATTTGAACCATGCAAATTAGACAGAATTGACATTGGAATGCCTAATTCTGAGAGAGAAGGATGTATTTCCCATCCTTGGGGCATTTTTCATCCTGTTTATATGGATACAGACATGTTAGGCATACAGGACTAATTCAACAGGTTACAGAATATTCAGCATGCAAGCACACATACAAGTCACTGGCCTGATTTGTGAGGTCTAAACGTGAAGTTAAAACCATATGAGCTCACTAGTAGTCCATACTGAAGCCAAGGGACACAGCCATGCCACCCAGGACCTTGAATAGTCTTGAGCTGTTAAAAGATGGCACTGATTCCTTCTCCATTATGAAAGAGGAAAGCAGGGGATCAACATTACTGTCAACACATTGGAGGAATACCCATACAAGTACCATTTGTGCAGAGGCACTTCCATCTCCAGACCCAGGCACATCAGTCATTGTGCCATCCCTGCAAGCTGCCCCAGCACTGACTCCTTTTATAGCCAGGCAAATCCAAACCCAGGGAAGCCTTGCCTAGCTGAGGCAGTGTAGCACTTTTTAAATCCATCCCGGTTCATTTGCAATGGCCTGGCCCGAGGCAGCGCTGCAGGGATCTGCTGTTACCAAGCAGGAGGGGGAGACATAGCCTCAACTCTCCTCCAGTTCCCCAGGAACACAGACTGCTGCCCACCTCTTGCAACAGGCTTGACCTGTTGCTCCCTCCAAAAGGGGTGGACACGCAGCTGGTCAGAGGGGAGGGCCATGAAAAACAGCTCCTCTCCTCATGGGCAGGCTGGCTGCAGCCTCACAGCAAAGCCACAGCGCTGGTGCTGCCAAGAATTTGGTTCACATTCTTCACTCCCTGTGGTAGCCACTAGGCCACACGGCCTCCTTCAATCCATTTGCATTTTATTAGGTCTTTTCATGCACCAAGGGACAAAAGAACAAGCCATTTCCTCCCACTGTGCTCTCATTTCACACTTCAAATGGGCTATACTAACCTTTATGGTGGAGCAACTGCCAGGGAGGAGGGGCAGGAGGAGGCAAGCGGAGCTAGGATGACAGGACAAAGCAGCCTCAGATCCTCTCTCAGCAACCCAGAGGAACCCAAATCAGTCAGAGCAACACCTTTCTCACCTGCCCCCACCTCGGGGGCACCCAGAGCTCTGCAGTCACCTTGGTGGCATTCAGCCGTGCTTTCTGGACTCACCTCCCACCCCCAGTAGGTGCTGCTGAGTTAATAGCCTGTACCATGTCCGTAGTCAGAGCATCAAGTAAGCTGGTAATAAATTCAACTTTCTTCCCTTCTGGGCAGCCTGCAGAAAGAAAAGAGGAGGTTTAATGCAAGAACACACAGGCTAGTCCCCTACCCAAATCAGCAAGGATCAGTCAGAACCTCTTTTGTTTTTAAGACAGCAACAACCATCAACACAGTCCCTAAGGAAAGGCAGAAGAATCCCTCAGTGGGTTTCTCTGCGTGGCAATTTGTCCTGCAGCTTTTGTCCAGGCACATGCAGGGTAATCAACAATATCTGGCAGGAAGACTGTGTGGTTAGCTTTATGGTCTCACCCAGCTCTCTACCAGCAAAACCGCAGGGATGTGCTGGAAGTGCCTGGCAGATGGGAGTTCCCATGGTGACACTTGCAGAGTAGTTTACAAAACAATTCATTACCTCCTGGATCATCTTCTGAGGCAAATGTGGCTGTTCTGAGGCCCTAATTGACAGATTAAAGAATCCCAGAGCACAAGGCAAGGTCTGCTGCTTGCACTCTCCTCTTCAGGCACAAAAAGCATTGCCTGCCAGCACCTACCACAATAACTCATTCTTCACATGATCACTCTACATAGGAAATATGTCAAACTGAGTTGGTATGTGGTAGTCACCTCCAGTCACTGCTGGCTTAAGCAGGACAAAGTGGGTTGAAGATGAGCTTGGTAACCATTTCCATTACTTAGTGCTGAGGCTGTCTAGTTCCCCACCATCATAACCATGGACTGACAGAACCTTCTATCCTCAACAGTGCCAGCCTGTTACAATGAAACTTTCCATCTCCTCACCTTTAAAAGGCAATCTATGCTGTTTCCTTGCTACTTAAAGTAAGCTTCATTTACTACCCCATGAACACTGTGACAACTGTTCCAGCCTGGAACAAGTTAAGGAACAAGGAACCAAGAACAGGCATGCTTAACTTCAACATACCATTGTCAAAACTGTTGTCCAAAACCCATCACCTGCCATCCAATTGTCTCCTCTTGATATGACAGAGAAGCCATCACCACATCCCTCACCTCTTTCCCCAAACCACCATGCACTACCAATTATTCAGTTGATTAGGGCAGTAGATGTCAGCACACAGCCTCCCACAGCAACACGGAGCAACGTCAACACTTTGTGCTTTTCTTGAACAAGCAAATAAGAACATGTACCACAAACAGAGCACAGGAAACTTACTGTAATCCCTTGACAGCTGAAAGCAGCTTGCAGACTGATCTGACAAAAGTCCCTCCTTTGCAGTAGTACAGGCTCTGTCCACTGCAATAGCTAACCAACAGTCCCTAGCCTGTCTCCATATTCTGTACACTGCACACATGCACACCCCTCAGCAGTCACTTGGCATATGGTCCAGAAAATGTCAGCATTGTAATGGGTAAGCTGCTATTGCAGCCAGAGTAGACCACTCACTTAAAGGAGCTTTTTGTTGAGGTAATGAAAAGGCTGAAGAACTATTTGGTACAAGTCATGTCCCTGGGCTCCCAGTATCTCACCATCTGCAGGAATTAGCAGTTTGCCATTTGCTATGTATAAGCAACATTTTCCTTCTTTCTTTTTTACTTTTGGCCACAGTCATGACAGGTTGTGAAGAGAGTATGTGTAGGTGTGCAAGGATCTGAACTTATGTCTTTCCCACCTGGGCCTCTGCAGGGTCTCTTCACACAGGCCAAGAAGTGCACTGCCTGCAGCACTGGGAGTCTAAAGAATGGGCAAACCTCTACAAGAGGAACAAAGTAAGGGGTCCCCCGACAGAACCGAGTGCAAATGATGCAATCAGTCTCAAATTAAAGCAAGAATTTTTCTTTACATTCAGTTCTGCTAAGAAATGAGAGCAGGAAAAAAAATTAAAAGAAACATTCTCTCTCACCCCCTGCAGTTCTGGCTCATCAGTAAATTTTTGCATACAAGAGCAGCTAATCAAACAAACCTCAAGATTGCGTAAGAAGTTCACGCAGCACAGCATTTCTCAGGCAGACAAACCAGGATCAGATCCTCTGTCTCCTCATCTCTCCATAGACAGGGGTATTTTCAGTAATAGGAATCACAGAATATGGCTAGGGTTAAAAGGGACCTTAAAGATCATCTAGTTTCAACCTTCCTGCTAGGGGCAGGGTTGCCATTCACTAGATCAGGTTGCTCAGGATTCCATCCAACCTGCCCTTGAGCACTTCCAGGGATGGGACATTCAAAACTTCTCTGGGCAACAATCATACCAACCAGTGCAGCCAAACAGAGCTTGAAGTTTACACAGGCACAGAAAACTGGCTTGAGCTGAGAGGGCAGCTCTCCTGGAGTTTGATATTGGGACCAGACTGCTAAGCTACAGAGCATCCCGTGTCCTCTTCTGCATCAAGCAGTTCCTGCCCCCTTCTCTGGCTTCAGTGGAGAAGGAAAAGGAGAAGGGAAACAAAATCAGTCTGTCTTCTTGAGATCAGAAACAGAGTCTCAAAGAAAAAGCCAAAGTGCAAAGGATTTTTGCAGAGGATTTCTGAAGGGCGGGAAGAAGTGCAAGGATAGGTGGTAAAGCAATGGGAGTGGGGGATGGGGAATCAAGGATGTAAGGTTATTCCATTTTACTGTGATTTCCTAGGGAAATGAGCCTTAATGTAATCCATTTAGCTGGCTTCCCTCGCCCTACCCCACAACATAATATTTGAACCAATTGGTTGATTTCCTTTGAATGTGAAAGGGAGGCAATAGGAAATTTTTACATGACTCGTGAAAATGAGGAGCTGCATAGAAGAGAGCCCTGCTGAGGGCAGAGTTTCTAAGCAGAAAGGTCTGGGGTCTGAAGTCAGGAGCCAGCAGGACAACAATTAGGAGACACACAAGGCAGATCTGGAACAAATCTCATTTCCTTTGCTAACCTGCTCAGGAACAACTCACTTTATGGTACCCTTAGAACGTTAAGCTGATCCAGAGTCACCATCTACTTCTGCAGAATTAGTGGTGTCCACCATCCCCTCATGGTGCAGAGGGATCCACTGTAGCTTGTGTTTTCAAGCAGTCCTCACCCAAGAGAGGGGTGGGGGTTGACCTGTCAGTGAAGGCCCCTCACTCTGCTCCTTAGAAGGGAGCCAGAAGGAAAAAACAGCACAGGCAGGTGGGATAGCATTTTTAAGAGCTGCACTGACACCAATGCCCAGCACGTGTTCCTAGCAGAAAAAAGGTAGGCAAACAGCAAATTATGCTTGCCACTCTGTTAAGAGGGAAAAACAGAATATAAAACAAGGAGCAGTGGAAAATAAAACATATTCCAGGCAGAAAAGGAGAAATAAAGTCCAGCTAAGTGAGAAGCCACCATTAGAAAGGAACCTCAGTACACTGTGAGGGTTGTCCTGCCTGGTCCATGCAGTCAGTGAAAGGGAGCAAATCAGAGCACTAATTGGCAGTTTCATCCTCTTCTGTGACTAAGGGAGCATCAAGCTGCTGAAAAGCCCTGCTAAACAGAAAGGATCTTGTCCTGGTCAGGCTTTAAGGAACATTCAATGTTGAGCCCATTCTTCCCCCAGGGTATCTCCAGGCATCCTGGTTTCTCTCCAGGAAAACTCTAATCCCAGAAATGTTTTCAAAGGGCAGACAGGTAATAAACACACCCAGGACAGACCCAGCCTTTTCTAGTTCACTGCTGAAACTGAAGGTGATCTTAAAAAACTCCCACAGAATAAACCCTATGGTAAAGCATGCACTGTGAGGAAAATCCCCTATCTCCTCAACAATATTCTTGGCCTCTTAAGAGTCCCAAGGTGAGACAAGGTAAGAAGGCAGAGACAGGATCTTGTTCCTCTAACCTGGAAGTTCTCTGTCCTTGAAGGGATCATCAATCTCTGTGCTCTTCGATCTGGCATCGCTTTCACACACTGGGGTCTCATACCTGAAAAAGGAGAACAGCAGAAGCTAAGCTATGTAACATAGCTTTAGTGTCATCACATAGTCACTAATCACAGACTATTCTGAGCTGGAAGGGACCAGCAAGGATCATCGAGTCCAACTCTTAAGTGAGTGGCCCATACAGGGATCAAATCCACAACCAAGCCATTATTAGCACTATGCTTTGACCATCTGAACTAATCTCAGGATCAATGGCTTTTTGCCTTGTCTGCTCACTGCAGGGGAAACCAATAAACCTCCAGAAGATATACCACTCTCAAGCATCTGACTGTTTATGGACAGTCAGCAACAGCAGCAGAAGTGGAAAGAGAAAGAAGAACATACTTTGAAGTCCAGTACCAGCTTCCAACTGAAACCCACAAACAGCACAGGGTCCTCTTCCAAATCTTGTGGACATAGGCTGAAATTTTTTTCAAAGCTGTCCATGCTTTGCAGAATCACTACATCTAGCCAAGTTTAAGTCCCAGCTCTTACTGGCCTGTTTTTCCAACTTGCCACCCCTGCAATTTGTTTCCAAACTCCAAGTGAGAAAATGTAGTTTCAGGTAGTTTCAAGATAGAGAGTGACTGAAAAAAAAATCTCTCTCTCTGTTTTAAAATCTACGCATGCACAACAAGCAGTCTTCTAATTCCCTACTGATCAGGATTCAAGTGGCTGCAACATGGAAGTATAAAGCAGATGATAATGCCACAAAGACACTTGTCTTTTCATTTGTCATGCCCATAATCTATACTCTTAAGCAAAGCCCCCATTCCTTCTACCTCAAAAAGCAAGCCAAAAGAAAAAATGGCTGCTTTGTATGAATACTTTAACACAGAGAAAAGTAAGGACAGTAGTTAACGTTCACCAACTCCTATAGAGAGGATAGAGAGGGAGCTGCACAGTAACACTCAACAGGGAACACCACATACAGCATTGCTTGCTCTAGGGAAAGCAGTGTAGAGCTGACTGCTCTAGGGTGAGGAACTGGTTTCATATTGCAGCAGTATTTTTTATATCTCATCTTCTTCAGCCAGGCACCTTCCCAGGCCTGTCTATAGCTCTCACCGTGTGGAAGTACCAGGCAGGGGACGTCCCGTGTCCACCAGGACACACCAGCAGTACCCAGTGGACTGGTGGCACTGCACCGGCTTGTAAAGTCCTCCAGGGGCGCACTCGGGGATGACGATGCCCTCCCGGGGGTTCTGCCTGGCCTCCTCCAAGGCGCTCTGCCTCTCCTGGTCACAGGAGTGAACTTTTTCTGGAAGACAGAAGGGAGGTTGGAAGGGGTAGAAAAAGGAATCAAATCAAGATCACTTTGCTCAGGTCAGTGGGATATGGGTATCCTTCACATCAGGAGCCCTTTGCGTCTGTTTCCTTCTCATCAAACATCAGTATGTCTACATCCTCAGGGACTGAGGGACTTCTGGGTTGAGAACTTTCTCCTACATTTAGCTGTGACACAACAAGATTATGGACTGAAGACGTTGATGGCTGGGTGCTCAGGATGCCAGAAACAGCAGAAAAAACTCTTCTTGATCACTTGGGTTTTGGAAATGAACTGTCAGGTAAAAATAATTCACTATTATTGCAGCCATGAGGTAAACATTTCCCAGATCGTTTTTGCAAGCTGAGAGATCTTAAATTGTGACTTGTATTTTCCAGTTAAACAAAGGATGCAAACACCCTGCCCTGCCCCTTTGTCTCTTTCTCCAGACTGCAAAACACTCCTCCCTCTTAATACCACCTCTCCAACATGATACCAAGAGAAGCAGGTTATGTTTTAACACAGATTTACCCAGTGCAGACAGCATCTGCACACACCTCAGCATGGAACAGAACGGGATATCTCACTCAACCCCCATTGCCATCACCTCTCCAACACTCTCCACTGCTGTCCTCACCTGGAAAACAAAGGGCACCCAACACTGCTTTCTACTGAGTGGCAGGGAAGGCCCTGTGCCTTAAGAACACAGGAAAGGCTGTGTCCAAAGGTATTGTCAAAGAGAACAGTAGAGGCATGCACCAAAGAACAGGAAGAAGCCCAGAAGTGGCTTCTGCAGCCAGCCTGGCACACAGAGCCCAAGCACTGCCCACGAAGGAGTGTAGGGTGCATGGACACTGCCAGGCTGCTGCCTCTCACATGGACCAGCCATCTAAGGGGCAAGAGAAGCACAGAGTACTTGCATGATGATAAGACTTATTTGGCTCAACAGCCAGAAATTCGCAATTATAACTCTTCAGGTATTCTGGCCTTTTGACAAGCAGAAAAAATATTTCAACTTTGTAAACTACTGAAAGTATGACAGTGAAGAAAAGAAAGCAGTCAAGACAGCTGAAAACACATCTAAGTCTAGGGTAACAAAAGACAACAATCTAACTCCTAACTTTTATCCTTAGGAGAGTGATGAAAAACAGAAGCAAGAAAAACAGCTGTCCTCTTCTTCCCTAGCCTTCCTCTCCCCTGCAGTTTACTGTGGTTTTAATTTTATTTTTATAAATAGGCCACAAGACCTGTAATTCCTTGCCACGGCCAAGACCTACCTGAAGACTTCAATACATAAAATTCTTCCACTGACCAGCAAACCACCCTAGGTTCACCCCAAATATGAAGATGTTTGCATCATCAGCCAGTGGACACTGCATAACCTCAGCATCCTGCTCCCATGACTGGACTGCACACAACTCAGCACACACAAGGCTCAGGCTCCCTCTATTTTACCTGCCTGTTGGTACACCTTGTATTTTGGTGATAAATTATGCTGTAGAGAGAGTAAGTTTTGTTCCATATTTGGGGAACAGAAGGGTTGCCAATTTACAGCTTGGTAGCAGCAGATACAACAAGAAACTCCAGCAGCTCTGCGCAGCATCACCTGAGTACAGCATGCCTGGGTACCAGAAGCATTTTTCCTGGTTTCTAATTGAACTGTAGCAGCTGAAAGAGTCTCAGAGACCCCCAAAAGGTCTCACTCTCCTCAGCATTTCAGATCACTGTCAAGGCTGGGCACCTGAACTTTGCCACATACAAACCCATATAACAGAAACACAGAATTAAGTGTCAGTAAGTCTGACTCAAGCAGAGAGAAACTTTACTGGGAAGGAGCAGGAGGGGATAAAGTCAACAAAAACTGAAAGGGAACTCAAGCCACAGCTGATATTTAAACTGACTTCACTTTGCTGACAGATTTCACATCTGAGAAGACAAAGAAGAGGAAAAAGAAGAAGGGCAAAAAGGAAGAAGAAAAAAGGAAAAAAGAAAAAAAGAAAAAAAAGAAAAAAAAAAGAAAAAAGAAAAAAAGAAAAAGAAGACTGTTCCCAAGATGTACATGGACAGAGAAGTCACTGAGCCAGAGGCCTGCTGGTTCACTAACAAACCACTGACATCAAAGGGCCTCACTTACCCACAGTCTGCTGACAGCAATTCACCTCTTGGCCATCAGGTGAGGCAAATCACTCAGGCAGCTTGGGGGAAGCAAAAAAGCAGGGGCAAAATTTTCTGTCATCATTATATTGCAAGCAAAAGGAAGGAAAACTTCTGCTAAAGAGAACTACATTCCAGGAATTTTTCTATCTAAATCCCAAAAGCTTCCTGAGTGCACAATGTCAAACGAAGATTTCTCAAGTCCTTTGAGTCTTGCAAAACTCTCAGTAAAATTACTCTGAAAAAAAAAAAAGTATGTGCTGGAACAAAGAAATAAGCCACTGTTGTTGAAATCAAGAGAAAAAAATAATAAATTCCTTTAATGAATTAGTATGTTATTTTACATACATTCGCAGTTAGGTATGCAAATTACACAGAATAAATCTACATATTTACACATTTGTGCTATGGCATAAAAAACCAGAAAAATTCTCTGCGCATATTAACAGAAATTTGTGGGAATTGAACAGTCACATTTACTACCAGAATACATAACTAACTGGTAGTTGGTTTCTGTTTGCAGGCTGTTTAAAGACTGAGTGAAACAAATCTTAGAGGCTTTGCTCAGTTGATATCAGACAGATGTAATGATGCAGACTCTGTCACCAGCATTCAGTAGCCCCTCATTAACAATGACAGTGGCACAGCTGAAGTGTCAAGGAGATCATACTTTACTCAGTTCTAATGTACATCTAGAAGTAGCTGCTATGGAAGTTCCTCCCTGCTTTACAGATTTCTACTTCATCTCATTTACATGATGGAGAGTCCCACATGGCACAATTCTTCTCTGAACCCCTTCCAGATCCACCAAGCCTTCCCCGAGCTGGAGGAGATCAGAATAGCAAACACACTGACTCTGACAACAGCCTTGTGGAAATTTCCTTCAGTGACATCTGTCTGCTAAGCAGAATGTACTAACTAGCACTAGTTCCTGAAGAGACTCCTCCAGGCTACCACTCTAACAGCACTTAATTCCCTTAAAAAATAAACATTCATATTAACATTTGGGTATTCAAAAGCCAGCAAAATCAGCTGGGAAATCCACACCATCAGCTCCCCTAGTCTGGGACTTGGCATGAACTGCATGCAGTGTCACCCTGAAAGATTGTCTCATGGGTAACAAAGGGATCATCAAATGCTATCCCAGCTCCAGGACACTGAAGTCCTCCTGTTCCAGTCAAACTGCTTACTGGAAACTTTGCTGTTGTTGCCAAGGCCAGGTTACTGGAGAATAGAGAAAGCCTATGGCAAAGCTAGAAAGTTTAATGCCAGTTATGAAATTAAGCTGTCATCTTAGAAACCAGAAATATATTTATTATACATGCAGGGTACTTAAAAGCCTATTCCTGGTTAATGGGAGTTGCAGGCAGAGAAAGAAAGGTTTTCCTTCCTTGCCTAAACTAAACTTTTCTTAGAGAAAGAACATTTAAGAGAGCAAGTCAGTGGAACACAGTCTTCCTAGAACAAATAATAATATTATACCCATTTATTTATTTATTTTAAAGGTGCTGTCGCATTCCACTGCCATTTTCTGCCATCCTTGCTTTGACTTGACCATCAGCAAAGAAACCAAGTAACACATGCCAACTTGCTGCTGCTGGGGAGTGAAACCTTTGTGAGACAGCAAATCTAGATTACAAAACCCAAATTACAGAAAAAAACCCAATAGGGAGCGTATTCATACACAAAGAGAAGAGTCATTGGCAGAAATATCCATTTTACCTCAACTGTTCAGCTCTAAAATGCTAACTGTTCCTTCTTATTCTTGACTGCTTCTACCACTAATTAAAACATATTTTTGAAGTAGTGTCTCTGAAGCCATGAGCTATGGCAGGAAAACAAGGCTTGGACATCTGCAGTTGCACATTATTTATGCAACTAGATTTTGCCCTAGTAATGGCCTTCTGAGGAATATCTGGTCAGATTCATTAAAAGGTCTCTCATTCCTGGTCCCTTAAGTACACACATTCAAACATGCATTTAATGCCCACACAATAAAAATAAAAATTATGGACAAAGTAAGGGACTTATCTGACTGTATAATAAACTGTATGGTTATTAAAGAGATGGGGTGCTTGTTTACCTCACAAAGCTGAGAAGAGAGAGTGTCTGGTAGTACCTAGCTGAAGGCTTGTGCTTAATAGTTCTCATGCTCACCCTGCAGGGCTGTGTGCAGCCACTGGGGATGGGGCAGCCTCCCCCAGCTGCTCTCCTGACATGGAACAACTCTCACTGCCACCAAAGCCAAGGCACCAAGCATCATTCACCATGGCTGTGAAGATGCTGTGGATAACTATGGTGGGACATAGGGAACATCTGCCATCCAACCACAGCAGATTATTTTTTGAACTTTGGTCTTCTGCACCTAAATCTTTTCTCATTAAAAGAAGAGGGAGACTGCGGCACCAAAACCAACCACCTTGGAGAGATTCCTACACCCTTCAGAGACAGGATTCTTTCTTCCAAATCAGGCAAAAGAAAGGGTCTAACCTCCCTCTATGCTTCTGCCTGGCCCCAGTGAAGCCATGTGAACAGCCCAAGCCCAGAGCTACAGGCTTTACCAGGCAGGGCAGATTTCCTTCTCTTTCTTGCTCTCTCCCTCATTTCTTTTGACCAGAAATTCTGTCTGGACCAGCAAAACTTTTCCCATGGAATTCCCACAAAAAGCTTTAGTTTTAATGAACAAGCATTCATCAGAAGGAGAGGAAAAGGTCTTTTAGAAGAAGAATTCTTGACCAATCCCCATTGTTAGTGCTGCAACAGGGACTTCATTTCAAAAAACTATTAAAAAAAACCCCTCAAACACATCTCTCCCAATTTTTTTTTGTTCAACTCCCAAC